CCTCCTCGCGTCGGCGGCTCCCGGCGGCTGCTCTGGGTGCTGCTCGGGAAGAGCCGGGCGCCGTTCTGTGACTTGTATTGAGTCCACACGGTGGTTTTTCCCGCTCTTCCACGAGCATTTTGAACTTGTGATGCAGCAGTCCCACCAATGGCGAGAGGATGTAACGTTGAAAATTGTCGAGAGAAGGCACATTGTGGAATGGAGTGGCAAATGGAAGTGCCAATGGGCCATGGGTTAATGGTAAATGATTAATTGGGGATCTTGATGTGTAAACACCTTCTCTACTCTTCTATAATCTTCCGTCATTTTCTATTTAACGATTCGTGTAGGGTCCCTAGGGCCTAGGTCAAACAATGTCAAAAACATAATACAGGTTCCCGCAAAACCCTTCCAGGAAGTCTAACCAAGGAATACGCCGGATAGAAAAGAAACTCAAGGAACTGAGGAGGTGTTCCTTGTGTGACATTGAATTTAAAGAACTGTTGAGCCTCTTTGTAGAGGAAAGAAGAGGAAAGGAAGAACACCATATCTTAATGTTAAATTCAATGTTGGACAGAAAGATTCCTTTTGTTGAGTTGAGTTTTGAAAAGAAAGCAGCAGGAAAACAAAGATTCCCACTTTGTTGACTGAAATCACGAGGAAATCAATGAAAAGGAGCTCCTTTTCTTGGATTCGAATGGTCAAAATTCGATAGATCAAACATGGTAAAACCAAAGGGAAGAAAAGGGAACTCCTTCGGTAGAATTGCTTGTTACAAAGCAAAAACAAAGTCAGGGGTGGTGACGGCTTTAAAACCCAATGCATGGGAGGAAAACAGCAAACAGAAAAGCAGCCCTCGTTTCAGGCGCTGCTGTCAATTCATCTTCGGAAGAATTTGGCATTGGCATTTTGTATCATTCTATTTGACTTGGCGAATCAAGATCCAACACATAAATCAACACTTCAGCCCGAATCTACAGAAGCAGGATTCCTCCGAAGGTCCAAGCAGCTTCACCCCTGCTGAGTGTGCCAATTCCTAAGAGATTCATTTGCGTCGCACCGACACTACGTTGAGACACCCCTTCGCTTGCACATTCGCTCGCGCCACGGTGGAAGCTTTTTTGGTGTCCAAGAAGGTCGGAGTCTGTACAGGTCAAGGATGATCGCAGCGGTGAATCCGTCAGAGGGTCACGTGGTGGGGTCAAGTTGTGATAGGACAGACATGGTTTCCCCCAAGCCATTAGCGGGTAGGCACCGAACGGTAACAAGTATACTGCAGATACATGGATGTAACCGTGTAACCGTGGTTCCGCGGTTGACCGTGAAAAGTAGAAGTAGTAACAAATTCCTTTCCCTAGGGCTCCAAGTACCTCCTCAGAAAGCTATTTGGACCCTCCAAACCCACCCCAAACACCTTCTTAGAAGGTGCCTCGAGCCCTAGGGTTTGTAAAGATGTTCATTTGTTCCCATCGTTTGGTGGGGATAGCAACGCACACGTCGTCCTTGAGATGCCACCCGAGCCTAGATTCTTAAAACAGTTGTGAGGGATTTCCTGCACAGACCTATGCAATCATATAATCATATACTACAGTAATATCATATACATTTGGTGTGTGTATATGTGTAAATATATATAGAGAGAGATAGTTATACTGTATATTTATGTATATTTGTAGATGCAGATGGTAACATGTTGTAGGAAAGTCTTTCACGTTTTTTTTCCCCATGTGCCGGCCTTCCGAAGTCCAGCGGGATGTTGAGCCCGGCACCGACCCTCCCCTCCCACCGGGCGTTCCGATATTTGCCGATCAGTTGGGGTGCTTTGGATGGTCAATGTAGGTATATATACATGGAGTGTTTGGGTCATGGCTTTTGATCGCATCATGCGCAACTACAACACGAGATCAGGCTTATCACAGGATTGGAGAAAACCATTCGACAGGTACGAGGTGTTGGTCAATATTATATATCAGGGCGAAAACAAGAAAACACCTGCAGTTTGGGTGGTTGAGAAGCGCCCGCTGGCCTAGCGATGGTCCTGCTTGATCTGATGGCTCCCAGTGCTGTATACCGGACCTGGTGAAACCAGTTTCACCTCGGTATCAAATCCGCTGCTGGGTAGGCTTTTTGCCATCAACAGAGCTTTTTCCACCCAGCACGGTGGACATCCGTAGATCTCCGGTGGCGATGCGTCCATGGGTCCCAACTCCTGGCAGCGCGGCCGACCACTGGAGGTACGTGGCGGCGCAGGTGCGCCACAAGAGGTAGAACCTTCGAAATCAATGCCTTGTGTTTTCCTGTCCTCTTTGGAGTTGAATGTCTAACCCAGACACTCCATGTATGGAACTATGCCTACATTGACCCCCCACACCACCCCAATGTATAGGCGAGCGTGTTCGCGAGGGAAGTTGCTTTTTTTTTCCCCCGCGCCAAGGTGTATGAAACCCAACACCAGCCCTAACAAGGTGGCGATGCCTATTGAATATGAAAAATATACATTCTGACAAAGGTTGTACGTTTAAAACATTGGGAATGTGTAGATCCCTTGGAGATCTAGTACTGAGAGGCTGAGGAATCCCATTCAGGGAAAGCATGTCAGTAGAGACTGTGACAGGCAGACATGGCAGACACATGGCATTGTGGGTTCTTTTATGCCGCGATCAGGGTTTTGGGTTTGCTGGAGGCAGCCCAATCCATCCTTGAGATGCAGGCCAAGATCGGGCCAGACGTGCCCGAGCTCGCAACAACTTCGGGTCATGAGTTTGAGTCGGATCGGTTTTTCCCGATATGATGATGATCCAGTTCCACTCAGCCAAAATGTGCTCATCAGATCTCAGAAGCCGATCCCCGACCCAGACGGCGGAACCTACCGGAGCAGCTTAGGATTGCGGAGGAAGAAGTCGGGCGAACAAATCCTCCCAGATTCCGCGTTGAGGTCGAAGGCGTGATTCCGCTAGCGCGTCTCCAGAATCGCTGGTCAAATAGTTGGAGATCGCTAAAAGGTCTGGAAGACCGATAGGTCTGGATCTTGGTCCAAAAAAGGTTTCTTTCACGTCCTCCCAGTGCATCGATGGACGATGCGGACGATGCGGACGGCTGGGAGATTCCAGACATATTTACACCGATGGACGTGCAAAGGTTCTTCCTGGACGTGGACGTTTGAAAGACATGACATGTTTCTACTGAAGCGGTTGTGTGGTTGTGTGGTTGGGTGACGTGCTCTTGGTAAAAATGAGTCATCAGGGATGCGGCCATACACTGGCATTGAGTACAATTTGGGTGCTGCACCACAGCTAAGCTTCAAGTGGTTGAAAGGCAGGATTTGATTACAGTGGATCGATGTGCGCAGCCGACCAGCCGATCGAGGGAAGCGATTTCGACCAGCCGTTTGGAGCGATCTCGACCAGCTGTTCGGAGGTCTCAATAAGGGAAATAATAGCTAGCCTAAGTCATCCTAAGTACCCTTTCTTTAAGGTACGAGGCTTTTTTGCTCGTGCCACTGGTGTATCAACCCTGAAAATGAACACAGCTCGTTTGTAGGAAAAGTGCTCGGGTGCTTTTTTTCTCATCCCTTTGCACCACATCCAGCACCTGCACACTTGCTCTGCCTCATCAAGAAGCATCTTCAGCCAGCCGGGGCTCTCAGAGAATGTCCAAGCATGGGTATTGTGGGGTTTGCAATGACACAGTCCATGACTCTCAGGACATCTTAGGACATCCTCCTTTTAAAGTGGCGGTTGTAAGACATCAAGGAAATTGTCATCACTCTTCTAACTACTTGACGGTTCGAAGCAACACGTCTTGCTGAGCGGGAGATTCTCCCAACATAATCTTCATCACTCCAGCACGCAAAGCTTAATATCGAGAAAACTTTCTCATCCGGATTGTTCTGGAGCTGCATCTCCATTGATCGCCTTGGTGTAGGTTTTGGATCCTGGGGTTGAGCTACAGGGTGCCAGGTTTGAGGTTGGCAACAAATGGAGTCTAGATTGACCAAGAGACACCATGTGCGGGATCAAATGTACCTAGACTGCTAAGATGTGTCAGGTCTTTCCTGCACTCCATAGGTTTGGATCTTGAGTCAAAACAAAAACAAAATTACTTTCTTACACACAAGGTTCCTTGGGGCGTATCTTGTAATATCGCAACTTCCTCTCAGCACAGAGAGCTGCCAACCCAGTGTATCCTTCCTCAGCTAAGGCCCTAATATAACTTTTTTTAAAAAAATATTGTTTGGGGAGACATAAAAACCCTTTCCATGTACATCCAAGATTCACCCATGCAGTACCCACAATTGATAACCTCCCTTGCAAGGTCAGGTGGTAACCAAATACCCGAGTGGTACAAGATATGGAAGAAGGAGTTGGCCATGCGGAAAGTCCAGGTTGACAAGTCAAGGAGGCCCCTGTCAACCGCAGCCTCACTTGTTTTGTGTCACCCGTGGGTTTGTAAAAACCTTTTCATTTCTGCACCTCAAAAAGAGTAACCAGAACCCTGGTAATGCAATGCTAAAGGCCATTGAGGGGCAACAGTGTCCAAGCTAATCCCCTCCAACTCCTGTTGGAGCCACTTGCACAGTAGGGCAGTGTCAAATGCTTTTCCGCATCCTCGTGGAAACTGGTGGCTCCTTAGGGCAGGCCAGGTTTACCAGTCTATACTACCATGATTGCCCCAAGTGGACACAGAAACCCTGCAGCTAAGATTCGTTTGGATCTTGAACTTCTTCAAAGAGAACTCTGTTATTGATGTTGTGCACTTGTTTGAAGAACACCATGTGTAGAAATGTTCATACGCTTCATCCAAGCGTGCTTGCAAACTCCGCCCTGGGTAGACCCGCAAGTAGTCGGCCAAAAGCAGAATTGTGGATGATGCCATGTCTCCACCAACTCCCAAACTCCACACATGCATGACATCTGGCCGAATTGAGTCCACGCAGTTGCCCCCAGGAACACGCCTAAGTGGACTAACCTTGTTTTTGAACACCTGGTCCACAGCACCAGTCCAGGTCCTTGCTTGTGAAGATGGGCCAACGTCCCACCAGGCCTGGGCAAAGAGCCGGGGATGGATTTGGCCCAAACGATTGGGATGTTTCAGAGTGGGTAAAAGGGTGCAAACACATAAAAGGAACAGTATCCTTAATAGCTTGTCCAAATATCTGCACTTGGGCAGAGGTGACAGATTTGCTTTGATCGGTAGCCAACACGCATCCACATGGCTTTACGAAGCCATGGCCAATCACCCTTGATGGCCAGCAGCACCAGGTTGAACTTTCTTTTTTCCTCTCCCACCTGACCAATTAGTAGCAAGCATGCTCAACCCTTTTTCTAGGGAACTGTAAACAAACAACAAATGAAATGAAAGAAGATGTTGATCATACCAGGGGACTTGGCAAAGGATACCGTTCTCGAATAGACGAACCAGGTCATCCGACATAGCGTTCAAAAGGCCTTCCAACGACACATCATTCTTTGCATACCAGGTAGAAGGAAGCAAGGAGAATAGAAGACGCGTTGTAAATGAATGCCTCACCGGGAGAACCACAACAGATCATGTCCAGCCCCCTCCAATCCCCCAAAGATTTATTATGACATCAGCAGTCTCAAATTCAAAAAGAATTTAAGGTATTGTTTTTGCCATGGGGCTCTTTCTGGTTCAAGTTGGTAGGCCCACTGGATGGTATGAGCACCTGGAACGATAGTACCAATAGGGGTGCCTTTGCCGCACCACGGCCTTCGTCTCCATGCAGGGCTATCGGCACACATCTTTTCCTTTCTTCGGGGTTTTTTGAGGAATATATGGGATGGCTTGGCTGGAACCCGGCATAGGCTGACCAAAAGTCTTCAAACATAGCCTCATACCTCGCAGCTTCAAGCAACCCAAAGCCTCCCAAGAAAAACTTTGGAAAGCATGACATAAGCGATGAAAACCAGCTGGAAAGGTGAAGCACAGGATATGCAACCATGGTCTCCACCACCTTCCTTGCCCGGTTGTGGTTCCTTCTGAAACAGCGCACTCGGACATCAATCGTGGAAATGGCAACATTGAAGCAAGAGCCAGATCTATGGACCCATCTATGCAGGTCCCTTGCAGCATTTGCCCCTGACTTTCTGGCAGTGACTGACCGTCGCAATTTGGCCAGCGGTTCGATGTCAGGGTCCACCACGCCTCACAGCAAACAATTCTTGATATAGCAAAAAATACAAATCTCTAAAGCCCCACCTAGTTTCTTCATTCGTCTGGCTGCCACCGAAGCGTAACGTACTACTGTCCGAGCTGGTGCCTCAAAACTTTGACATCATATAAATCTATAGTAGATGCTAGGTGTACACGCAAACAAGTCACACCACCCTCAAGATCCTGAAGGAGAACATCTCGTAGGTCATCAGATTCACTCCCTTCATTCCCTTGGGAGAAGAACAAATGAGTTCAACTCTGCTGTATTTGTGGTATGTATAAGGTCAACGCGTTCATCCTCTGAGGAAAGTGCAGCACCTGGAGCAACGATGCTTGCCAACAAAAACTTGGCTGATTGACCCCCTCTCCAGGACTTGGAGCAAAGCCAATAGGGCAAGAACTGGAGTTGGAATCTTAACAATTACGGAAAAGCAAGTTTGTTTTCTCCCCTGCCACTGTGCCAAGAGTTAAAATGACAGGTGTGAACACACACTCATGTCAGGGCTTGGCTGCCCATAATCCCAAATTGCGCGCAATGACATTGCGCCTCCAATGAATTGCCCAAAAGAACCAAGAAGATCTCACTTGGACTTCTTAGCCGCCGCCTTTGGCTTCTTGGACTGCTTTGCAGTCTCAGCATCTGACACCTTGCGTTTAGTGGAAGCTTCGGCTGAGGTTGTCTCAGCTTTCTCACCTTTGACCTTGCTCTTTGGCTCAGAGGTGTCATCACGCTTGCTCTTCTTTTTGTCCTTCTTCTTGGATCGAGTCGATCCATGAGCTGAAGAAGGAGGAGCAGCTTTGATGTTCCTCATGGGCCAGAGTCAGCACTCAGCAGAATGCATATCAACAACAAATTCAGCAGAAAAAAACATATACAGTATATTGCCAAAAATCCGCGATCGCGTGATGTAGTTATTCAACGTCACATCATCTTTGGTGCACGATGTAAAGAGTCCAATGACATCCTTCTTCAACTCCTCGTTTGGCCTGCAGGTGGTCGAACCAATCAGGATATACATTGCAAAAAAGGTTAAAGCAATCAGCTTGCACACAAGATAGCTGTCATGCCAAGTGGCAAAGTAGGGTCCAACGACATGAAATCAGCCTGCTTGGTGTTGAGGTCTTTATAGTATTGATTCATGCGCTCAAGGATGCTCGACATAGCATCACTCATCCTGTCCAGAGTCTGGCTAGGTCTTGGATCTTAAGAGCCAGTGACACAGCTATTGCTGCCAAGCCACTCTTTTGCCCGAGAGCTGTTCTTGCCCTTGGCTTGCAACTTCTCCTGCGCAAAGACTATAATATAGAACATATTCCTCACCGCAAAAAAGAAACGTCCAAAAGATTCCAAAAGCACAAACAAGGTATCCTGCATAGCTGAAGCAGAATCTATCTTGCGCCCCAATACATTCAGCCACTGGGGAAGAATCGAGAATGGCGAATCTGACTTCTGCAGCGTTGGGAATATCAACCTGAGACATTCCAGGGTACACATACACAGAACAGACATTTGCTCAATGTGCAAGAGGGAAACTTTTGCTTGTTTGAACCAGATCCCGATGCGGCAGCAGCAGCCAGTTTGGCAGCCTCCTGCTCCCCAAGCTGCTTTGTGGCAGCATCAGGCTCAAGGTCTGAGCCAGAATCCATCCCAGTCTCATCGAAAAGGACACCGTCTTCATCCTGGAGAGTTACTAGTGATTATGATTCCCCTGTGAAACTGCATGAATGAAAGAGGTAAGACCCATTGGTTGATCCTCAAAGGTGCCACTTGCTGACATGCTGGTCTGGTGGCCCTTCTCTGTCGAAGTGTCAAACCAATCTTCTAGGACCAGTTTGGCTTCGGGCTCGCCATGAACTTCATTGTTCCGAATCTTATTGTGTGAAGCAGCCCAGGCAAAGCTGCGCTCGACCATGCTCCTTATGTTTGGAAAGACATTGATGAAATGGGACAGACTAGATGAATTTATACTTCTCCCAAATCAGCTATGGCTCGGAGAGTATTTCATCACTTCCAACAAGTAAGTCTTCGTGACCCACTTCCCACGCTTCCCAGCACTCTTCAGCTTCTTCACCCACCGCTGAACTGCAACTTCAAGAAGTTTGAAGTCTTCATGCTTCCTAAGCAAAGCCTGGAGCTGCTCACCTAGGGCTAAGGTCGGTTCATGGGTGACCAGGAAAGATAAGATTCAACCACATATACAAGGACAAGGTACGACTTTTGTCATTGGTGTGATACAGCTTAATCACATCCTTTGAAGCCTTGGCTTTCCCAGCGGGCTTTCCATCAGCACCCACGTAACGGCGTAGCCTTGGCATCTGGGGGGCAGGGACCTGCGGTTGGCATGGTAATCAGCACCAAGGGTATATAGACAAGGAACCGGTAGTAGTACTTGTCAAACTTGCTGGATTTGGATGAAGTCCTTTCTGAAACAGAATGTCCCAATGAGATGTCGTCATCAGAGCCAGAACCATTTTCCTGCACCTCTGCAACCTTTGGAATACCACCCTCACCATCAGGCTTGCGTTCACCTAGAGGCGCCTCAGGCTTCCGCTCATGGACAGGCTTGTCAGGCTTCCGCTCATGGACAGGCTCCTCAGGCTTGGGTTCATGGACAGGCTCCTCAGGCTTGGGTTCATGGAC